ATGACTGTATTTCTCTGCTACAATTTCGGTTTAGAACTAAAATGAGTATTAAAATCTGATCAGACTTATCTAATACTCATCATAAATGATTACTCGGCCAAGTGGGAGAATGTTGGACACGATTTTATTATGTGGCCTGAGTTATCATTTATCTAATTAATTGATCATTGACCTAATAAATACCCTACGTATTTATTTGGTAATTATTCGATGGACGTAATTACCCTTATGACCTAATTAGGGTTTCCCCTTGGGTGTATATATATAGAGGTCATTAGACACAGATCAACACACCAATCTTACGCCTCCTCTCTGCCTCTCTATTCTCGTGAGTCTCGCCCTCACCTTAGCCATCATAACAATACACCCTAAAAGGGAACTCGATCTGTGTGAGAATCATGGCCTCATCCCTAACTGCGTTTACAGGATTATCAGGTACACATGATTAAATCCCTAATTTATATTTTATGTTTAAGAATTGATCAACATGATAGTGCAATTTTTTTAATAGAACTAATATTTTGTGTCAGTATGAACCAATAAAATGTCAGTACATTTTTTTGAAGTACAAATTAGCATACACTTTTTGGTGTACTCCTAACACGCTTGTTCTGAAATTTGTTTTTGAAATTCTATTTCTTTAAAAAACACGGAGTACAAATGCACAACATCTACTCCGGGCATTTCTTTTTATGTATAATAATTTTTTTTATAAATTTAGAAGAAATACAGAAGTACTTTAAGCAAGACATAGACTAATTTTTTGTGTTTACTCATAGAGAGCGTCTAAAATGACACTTATTGTTTATACACCTAAATTAGCGTGTTAAGTTAACACGAAAAGAACATTCCCTGATGAGAGAAGTATTTATTTATCCCATTAATAATTAAAGTGTTTCACACCATTTACAAAAGAATAAGCCTCATCCTTGATGTCCAACTTAAAACTGGTTGGACAGTGACATTAGAATTGAAGAGGTAAATTAAACAATAATCACAGACCGGCCTACAAAAGGTAAAGTCTTCACCTAATAGTTGCAGTTGTCCTTTGTATAGGATAATTGCCTCTCAACTCAATTGTCTGGAATCGAAATCGAATTTATTTCGTTTTGCACTCTTTTCTAAAAAAATGATGAACCTCATCCCCGAGGACCCCTCAACTCGGTCAGACAGTCACTAAGAGGAGGTAAATTAGACTTTGATCGCAGATTGGTGGAAACGAGTGAACCCTACACCTGATACTTGTAGAGGCCCTAGCTTAGCATAGTTGTTTCCGAGCAGCGCAACCGACTTTGCACTTATTTCTGAATGAGTAGAGCTACACCATTAAAAAATGCAATGAACGAAGACCCAAAACAGAGGACACATTACTGTGGTCAGGACGGCATACACGTACATGGCCGGTCAATCCTGGTTGTGGTTTTATCTACGTACGTACTCCCCATATTTATTTTGCGTTGTTGTTGACATTTGTATAGTGGGAGGGAAAATGATAGCCATGGAAACGGATGATTAGTGATGAATTGATAGCTCCAATAATGATCCCACCACACCGGCCGTGTGTATTCATACTTTAAGACTTGGTCGGATTTTTCAACTTGTTCCATCACAAAACTAAAAAAAAGTTATAGAGTTGTGTGATCGAACATTTTTTAGAAGAAAGAAAAGAAAATGAATGCACATACTCTTATCCTTCAGAAATTAACTTTTCTATTTTGAATAACGTGTAAAATCACATCATATTAAAAAATAAATTTATTACAAATTACTATAAAAATAAAAAAATACAAATTACATATTTTAATTACATCAAAATTCTATAAAACAAGATGTGACAATAATATTAAATTTTATCTAATTATCAATGAAAACATACTAATAAACTTATAAATGTTATTGAAAAATTAAAATCACCTTAAATAGGATTAAAACATAAAGAAAAGTATCAAAATAGGATTTTCATGTTTTTTTCCAAAATAGAATTTCACATTGTCGTAATGTGACACTGTACATGTCCATACTATATACTCCGGTAATGTAAATACATAAGTCTTATTTCGAAAATAAAAGGGAGAAAGACCAAAGTATAACTAAAACATTGAAAATACATGGTCATATACATTACCAAAAAAGTATAGTAATTTGCACATATACACTGCCACATTACAAACAGGGCAAAATCACATTACCACAGTGCAAAGTCCTATTTCGGGAAAAAAACATGAAAGTCATTTTGGTACTTTTCTCTATGTTTTAGTCCTATTTAGGGTGATTTCTAAAAATAAAAATATGGAAATCCTATTTTGGTATATTTTCAATGTTTTAGTCTTACTTTGGTCGTTCTTCTTGAAAAAATCCAAATAATTACCGTAAAGTTAATTTGTGGACGGAGGAAATCAAAATCTTCTTTCCAAAACACGCAGTAGAGTACATTGGAACGTTCTAATATAAAAATGCATGAAAAATTGGGTATGACGTTTGGCCAAATATTTTAGGACTCATACTTTTCTCGTGTTGTGCTTTTCATACTTCTATTAGTAGGTGATTAAGAAATTAGATGAGTGTTGTATGGGATTTATTTTTTTAAAAAGAATGATAAGAAAAATGTGAATAACATATTAGGGGAGTGGGGGTGGGGGTGGGGGAACGGAGGATGGAAATTTGGGGGGGGGGGGCG